GGGCTCAATCCCAGGACCCTGGGATCATGACCTGAGCCGAAGGCAGACGCTTAACGACTTGAGCCACCCAGGCACCCCTATTTCCACTTTTTAAGGTAGAAAATGATATAGTTTTAGTAAGATAATTTCTTAAAATATGAGCTTTTTATATTATAGGGGAGACCTAATTTTTTCTTTTTGGATTGCTTTCTGTAGATTCGTTTGTCAATGTTTGGCTAATACATCAGTATAATGGATGACTAGTACAGAAACACTCCCTTGGAAGTAAAGTTCAAATTTCATCACTGGCTTGTAGAGAAAAATTTATCAGGAGGCATAAAAGACAACTAAATAGCTATGTGAACTAAGGGAATAGTTCAAGTCTGAACTTATGAGGTTCCTAAGCAAATTCCAGAATGTTGTAAGTCATATCAAGGTTGAAGGAGAATTGAAAACAAAAAAACATTAAGTACTCCTGGGTATTAGAACTCCACATTATTAAAAATTTGTTCATTCTACCACAGTCAGAGACAGACAAATGCTCTCAGAACAAACAATATAATCAAACAAAACCCCCAGCATATCCCTCCTCTCCTACCTCCTGTAATTTGCAAATGTGTAAGTACCCTAGAAATAATAAAGGCCTGCCAAAAAAGCAAACTCTCTGTTCTTATAGCCTGTGACTCTGGCAATACATAATAATAACCCTGATTTTATTCATATTACTATGTAAAATTGACCTTAAGCAACTTTTGTAATGATAAATGTATTAACCTAATATAATACACTCCTGCATATTGATGTTCCATAATTAAAGATTGACTCCTTTGCCTTAAATATCCTTGTTTCTGTTAAAATGGAAAAACAACAAGAACAACTACTACCAGCACCATCCTAGGAAAGAAAATAAAATTTCTTTCACTACTGACCTTCTAATTGCCAGAGTCAATGGATTCTTCACAGTAACCACCTTCCTTGATATCAGATACTCCTCCTCACTTGGAAATTTTTAGTTCCTAGCCTATCTAGTTCTGGTTCTTGTCCTGTCTCTGTCCACTCCTTCACTGAATCTTCCCAACCTCTTATCAGCCACCCATTCCTTCAACATTTTTGTGCCCCCATGGTTCCACTCTTAGTTTACTTCTCACTCTACACAGTCTCCCTTAGTGATCTCAACCATGCCTAGAAAATGATGATTCCCAAGTTGGTTTGGTGATGTACAGCGATGTAGAGAGAAAGAGATAGTGGAACCCCCAGGAATCCTGTTTACACAACCTGACCCTCTCCCTAGGCCATGGCTAACCACACCAGGAATAAACACCTGGATAAATCTGATGCTCCCTTCCAGAAGTTTTAGAAGCCAGATTGAGATCTTATTCATGCTGTACAATTTGCTTGAACTGATAACGTGTAAACTAGAGCCACGTAAGGACATCAAGTTTGGCTACAAGAGTATCCAAGAAGGCAAAGCCAAACGACAAAGAGAAAGATAGAAAAATGAAGCAGACACATTGAGAGAAGCAGAAATGAGAGTTCATACAGAGAGGAGATGGCATTGGGGAAGGAGAAAAAGAAAAGTACGAACAGGAGAGATGGAAAAAGGCAGCCAGAGATAGAGATATACAGATAACTGACTCCTGGAAATCCTGATAGCCCTCTAGTTTCTGGTTCTAGTCCCTTCTGAGGTCTGACTATAATCTGCTTCAGAAGCTGCCTTTGGATTCTTTGAGATAATCCAGTCTTCTCCTAACAAATTCCCTTTAAGTTTAAAACAGCTATTACTTGTACCCAAAGAATACCTACAATGTTTACTATTTATGTAATATATACATATTTAATATACATATGTTTTATAAATATATCTTAGGCCCATATATTATTTAGAGATACAAAAAATATGTATATATGTGCAAAATAGATTATAGATAGATTTAAGCATGCATACATACACATGTGCACACACACACGTGGTATACATGCAACATACTCAAAGCCTGAATTTATTTACTTCCCCCATTCCTGTTCCCAAACCTGCTCCTCCTTCTGTATGATGGATTTCCCATTCTTCAAGTCAATCAAGTCAGATTTGGGAACCATCCCTGCCCTTAGAGAGACACCACACCCCATTTCAGCTTCCTTATAATCTATTCCATATATGCAGTACTTAACACATTGTTTATCAGTCTTTCTATTAACTCATGAGCAGTTCAGGAGTTTGGAGTAGGATAAGGAGGAAAAGGTACTAATATTTAATATTTTTGTTGAGTACTGACAATGTATTTGGCCTGTTTATGACATTAAGGAGGGCACTTGATGTAATGAGCAGTCGGTGTTATATGCAACTGATGAATCAATAAACTCTACCTCTGAAACTAAAAAAAAGAAAAGAAGGGGCGCCTGGGTGGCTCAGTCGTTGGGCGTCTGCCTTCAGCTCAGGTCATGATCCCAGGGTCCTGGGATCGAGTCCCGCATCTGGCTCCCTGTTCAGTGGGAAGCCTGCTTCTCCCTCTCCTGCTCCCCCTGCTTGTGTTCCCTCTCTCGCTGTGTCTCTGTCAAATAAATAAATAAAATCTTTTTTAAAAAAAAGAAAAAGAATAAATTAATAAATTTGACTAATTAAAATATTTATTGAATATCAATTTTCATTGTGAACATTACAGAGATACATAGAGGGATGATAAAGAGAATCCTGGCCTTCAAGTTTACAATCTAGAAGGGGGAGGTTAAGAAGTCCACAAAGTACTTTGAGAGTTCAAAGAAAAAAACAGATAACTTATCTCAGAGGATGGAAGAAAATAAAAGACCCTGGGAGAAAAATATCAGCATACTCAACTTCCATAATCTCTCCTAAATTTTCATCTATCTGTTTGGACCTTCAGCTCACCTCATTTGTTGTTTGTAAAATGCAACTTTCCTTCTTAGACTTGAGCTCTAATGGCCCCAGAACTGTAAAAACTGTGGCACAGGTTTATATCACATAAGGAAACATGGTGCTAGTGTTTATAACCTTCAGCATGCTTACTTATTGGTTAAATCATAAAAAGAAAAGTTACACAGAAATTCACCAGTTCACAGAGAAGAGTGAGAGGATAAGGCAGCTGAGACAAATAAGTATAGACCATTCTTTTGAGAAGTTTGGCTTCCTGAAAGCAGGGACTCAATGGGACTCTCAGCGATCATAACCCTATATACTTCTGGTTCTCCCCCTAAGTCTAAGACCGCTCTTTTTAGAATTGGAAAGTGTAGTCCTTCCAATTTCATTCTTTGTAAAGACCGCTTTGGCTCTTCTGAGTGTTTTACCTTTCCATATAGATTTTGAGATCAGCTTGTCAGTTTTTGTTCGTAGGGATTGTATTGAATCTATAGATCAATTTGGAGAGAACTGCCATATAAATAATATTCGGTTTTCCAATCAATAAACATGGAATGTCTCTCCATTTACTTAATTTTTTTTAAATTTCTCCCAGCAAATGATGTCATTTTTAGTATACAAGCCATTTAAATTATTCCTAAATTGTTTGTTCTTTTTGATGCTACTGTGATTAGAAGTATTTTCTAAATTTCATTTTTGGACTGATTATTCCCTGCCGGTATATAAATATGCAACTGAGTTTTATATGCAGATATTATATCCTGCAACCCTGCTAAACTTGTTTATTAGATTTAATAGTATTTTTATTAATTTCTTAGGATTTCCTACATAGAAGATGATGTCATCTGTGAATAAAGACAGTTTTCTTCTTCTTTTCTAACATGAATGCCTTTTTATTTTTTTTTTTCTGGCTTGATTGCACTGACTAGGATCTCCAGTACAATGCTGAAGTGAAGTGCAGAGAGCAGACATCCTTGCATTATTCTTAATCTTAGAGAGAAAGCATTCAATGGTTAAATCATAAAATCACCATTAAGTATCCTCTCAGCGGTGGAGTTTTCATAGATGCTCTTTATCAGGTTAAGGAAATTCTCTTATTCCTAGTTTGTTCAAAATTTTTACCATGAATGGTTGTTGGATTTTTGTCAGCCGCTTTTTCTGCATCTGTTGTCATTTATTCTCTTAACATGATGCATTGCCTTTTGAGATGTTAAGCCACTTACATTTGTGAGGTAAATGCCACTTGCTCATGGAGTATAATCTTTTTTATATATGGCTGGATTCAGTTTGCTGATATTTTGTTGAACATGTTTGTGTCTATATTCATGAGGGATATCATTCTATAGTTTTCTTGTAATGTCTCTGGTTTTGGTATCAGGGTAATACTGGTCTCACAGAATAAGCTGGGAAGTATTCCTTCCTCCTTTCTTTTCTGAAAAGAGTTTGTGAAGGATTGGTATTATTTCTTCTTCAAATGTTTGTAAGATGACTGCTCTTTTTAATATCTTCAACTTTTGTGTTCTTCATTGCATCTCACCTACCATTTTACCCCAGAAACATATGGGAATGAACTTATGCAACTACATCCAAGAAATGGCTAAAATAGTATTTTAAACAATATCCTGAATTTCAACCAAAGGCACTTTTACTATGAGAAAATACTATGAAAAACAATCTCACAACTACTTTTAAGTTTAGGAAAACTAGAATATTTACTTACTAGGTAATAGCTCTCTATCAGCAGTCTCTGTGCAGCTGGGATAAGGATAAAATAGATGGCCCTTCTCTAATGGATATGGAATCATTCTAAAAGCTGAGAAAAAAAATACAGAAGTTGACATTCCATTCAGACTCACTTTCATCCCATACTACAGATCAAAGCTACTTTGGAGACATACTTTTGTAAAATTTTCACATAGCATTTATTAATTTTTTTAGAGATACCTTTTAGATGAAAGAAACAAAGTAAGCAAAAGAAGGACTAAGAGGAAGAATAAGATTTATTTAGAGAATAGAATGGTCTGGCTGGAATAAAACTAAAGGGAGTAGTGGGTGATAAGGCTGGCTAGGTCCTTCTTGCCTCTGTCTCTTCACTATAAACACAACAGACTTAACTCTGTGGGTATGAATTCCTTTTCTTCCAGGAATCTTCATAAAATTGCAACATGTATAACTGTTGTGACCCAACCTGTTGGCAACCTACAAGAGTTTTCTCAGTGGCTCCTAACTTCATGTGTTAGATATCAACAAAGTTTTCTACAAGCAGAATTTAACTTAAATCAGAGGTCACCAAAGCATCATCCTTTGGCCAGACCTGGACCACTATTTATGTTTATAAATAAAATTTTATTAGAATACAGATGTTAAAATCACTTGTTCATTTATGTATTATGTAAGGCTGCTTTCATGCTACAAGAATTGGGTAGCTATAACAGAGACTATGGCCACAGAGACTAAATACTTACCATCTGGCTCTTTACAGAAGTTTACCCATCCCTGATCTAGATTATCATCAGCTCTTGCAGACTTCTTAAAGAAGGAATCTTTATTAGCTACTCAGCTAGCTGAGTATTCATCAAAATTGTGATAAGTTTTTGTTTTTCCTTTAGTGCTTAGCTCTATAAACTTTTGTCAAAATATGAATTTTGTTCTGCCACAATAAAAAGTAGGGATTTCTCCAAAGTCACAGAGCAAATCAGTGGTAACACTAGGAAATCATTCATAAAGAAGATTATTTATGAAATACAGTATAAGTCACATATTTACTGAGAACCTCCTATGTGCCAGGCAGAACATTAGGCACTGAAGACACATACAGGATCAATGAGACAGAGGACCTGGCTTTGAGGAGCTTATTGACTACCAGAGAAAAAGCAAAAGGAAGACTAATTACCCAAAGACATTCCACTCCTCAGTTTTAGTAGTCCCAGTTTCATTAATCTGTATATTGTCAGTGGCAAGCAGTGTCTGACCCTTAGCAAGTGGTTAATGCAGAGGTTCCCAAATTCTCTTGCTTTAAGGATACATGGTGCCCTTCATGTCTCTAACTGTTTATGATGACCCTAGGCTGAAAAAATACCTAACAATTCCACTTAAGTAGTGGGTCCAAACAACTTTAAAGGTTTATGTCCTAACAACTTAGCAGTGATTTGGGGGGAAAATATATATGTCAATTAAAGGGAAAAATAATTATTTCATTTTTTTAAAAGATTTTATTTTTTTAAGTAATTTCTAACACCCAATGTGGGGCTTGAACCTACAACCCCAAGATCAAGAGCAGCATGCTCTACCGACTGAACCAGCCAGGTGCCTCTAATTATTTCATTTTTAAACAATCACCTTTTCTTACTAATGGGATGTATGTACCTGTTGGACACCACATAACTTTTCAGACCTTGGAATCAGATTGGACACCGCCATCCTCATTTCCTGTTCCACACTGATTTTTTTGTGTGGTAGTTCTTTTAATCATAGCAATTAAGAAAAACCCAGCTTTGCAAAGCTATGACAACATCAAAAGAAATACAGAATGGAGAGCCACCTAATGGTGAAACCTTGAACTATGCAGAGCTAACAGCTTGAATGATGCTTGACAGATGTTGAGTATTGCTGTGTTTCCACTGAAATTTTTTAAATATCCCATGATACTTTTGTGAATTTGCTACAATGCCCCAAGGTGCCTCATTACAAAGTTTGGGAACTGAGGGGGTTAACCAATTCTAGTTAATGAGTATTGAATTTATTTTTGAATTTCTATTGATAGCAGGAGTGTACTTTCCAAGACAATCATTATAAGAATTCAACTGACAAAATATTTTGGTTAAGCTTTTTCATTTTCTAAGTGATTTTAAGAAGTTACAAATAAGAGATCTGGTAGTTACTTGAAAAACAATCTAGTTCTCCAAAGAAGACACAGAAATGGTCAATTAGCGCATTAAAAAAATGCTCAACAACATTAATTATTAGGAAAATGCAAATCAAAACCACAATGAGATACCACTTCACACCTATTAGTATGGCTATTATTAAAAAAAAAAAAGAACAAATGTTAGCAAGGATACAGAGAAAGTGAAACCCTTGTGCATTGCTGGTGGAATATAAAATGGTACAGGTGCCAAAGAAAATAGTAAGACAGTTCCTCAAAAAATTAAACAGAATTATATAATCTACAGGTTCCACTTCTGGGTATATACCCAAAAGAACTGAAAGCAGGAACTTGAACAAATACTTGTAATACCCATGTTCATAGCAGCATTATTCATAATAACCAAAAGGTGGAAACAACCCAAATGTCCATGACAGATGGATGTATAAACAAAGTATAGTATATACATACAATGGAATATTATTCAGCCCTAAAAAGGGATGTTTTTCTGACACATGCTACATTATGCTAAGTGAAGTAAGCCTGATTTAATGAGACAAATACTGTATGATTCCACTACAGAAGGTATCTAGACTAGTCAAACTCATAGAGACAGAAAGTCGAATGGTTACCAGGGGCTGGAGAGGGGAAGAATGGGGAGTCATTGTCTAATGGGTACAGAATTTTCAGTTTGGGATGATGAAAAAGCTCTAGGGATAGATGATGGTGATGGTTGCACAACAATGTGAATGTACATAATGCCATTTAACCATACATTTTAAAACTGTTAAAATGGGGGTACCTGGCTGACCCAGTCGGCAGAGTGTGCGACTTGATCTCAGGGTTTTGAGTTCGAGCCCCACGTTGGGTGTGGAGATTACTTAAAAATAAAATCTTTAAAAAACAATAAAAAATAAATAAAATAAAGTGGTTAAAATAGTAACTTTTATGTTATGTGTATTTTACCATAATAAAAAAATAGATTTAAAAAGAAGAACAAGAGTTGATACTAGTTGTGAAGAAAATAGTTCATGATGTAAACATCTGAAAATTAAACAAAAGTCCAATTTAAAAAATACTAGAACAATAACTCAACCACATTAAAAAGCCTATAAACCAAGAGATGTAAGTTTTCATTTTCTTTCCTTACAAATATGTAACTTAAATGAACATATGGCAGAATACTGTAACAGTTTCTCATTTTGCTCTTCCTAAATGTGGCATCAGTATAAGTACATTAAATTTCTCCTACCAATAAACCAAATAAACACCTCTGGGTTCACTTTGAAACCAATCTGAACAACAATACTTAGGGAAACTCAGATAATCTGATTTAAAAAGGCTGCCTGTGAATGCAGTGAATAGTCCGAGAGATTAGCGGTACATTTGGAAAAGAATACTTACTGCCTTCCCAGGTACACTGTAACAGATTAAGAGCACCTTCTATTCTCTTCCAGTGCTGAAGATGGAAGAAAGCATAGGCGATTGCTTCACTATCACCCCGTTTCAGAATGTGCTCTGGAGGTAAAATTAGACTTTTCATCTCTAGTAAGTACTAGAAAGATAACACACACAAAGACACACCACAGAAAAACGAAAACTTAAGTTCAAACACCCACAAAAATGTAGATTCAAATTTTACGTTAAAAAACAAATATTAAGCTAGTTGAGATGACAAGAGGGTCACACTGATAGCATGTGTATAAAATGCTCATCTATGCAAATTCCAAAGATCAGAATATTCCTAAGGGCAAAAATAAGGTGATAAACGGCTTACGTATGACCTTGCTAAATACATAATGGAAATTCAAGCTGAGGAAATAATGTGAGAGCAAATATCTATTTTTCCAAAAGAGAATTAAGTATAAAAATCATAAAATACAATTTTGGAACAACATTTTGTGGTGACATTCAATTCTTTTTTTCTCTCATTCCCATCTTATAGGTGGAGGAACTTAATTGTGAATAAGTTCAATTAAATTAATATCTACTGAGAGCAAAGCACTATGTTAGGAAACACTAGATTCTCTGGAGCTTCCTACTGTAATAGAAAGACAGATTTCTTAAGTTAATGATTATAATAAGACTATGCTGAGTGCTTTATTAGAGGTATAAACAGTGTATATAAGAATTTGGATAGAAGATATTAATTTTTTCAGCTTTTTTTACAATAGATTTATTGAGATATAATTCATATTTTACAATTCACCCATTTAAAGTATATGACTCAAAAAAAAAGTGTACAACTCAATAGTTTTTAGTATATTCACAGATAAGTACAACTATTACCACAGTCAATTTTAGAACATTTTCACCACGGCAAAAAGAATCCCCATCCTCTTTAGTTATTACCCTCTAACCCCCATTCCCCCTAAGCAACCACTAATCTGCTTTGCATCTCTATAGATTTGCCTGTTCTGGCTATTTTATACAAAAAGACTCACATAATATATGGTTTATTGTAACCGGTTTCTTTCACCCCACATAATGTTTTCAAGGTACATCCATGTTATATCATATACCAGTACCTTGTTCCTTTTTGTGGCTGAGTAATATTCCATTATATGGATATACCACATTTGTTTATCCATTCATTATTTGATGACCATTTGGTTGTTTTCATCTTTTGGCTATTATGAATAATGCTGCGATAAACATTCATGCACAAGTTTTTATTGGAACATATGTTTTCATCTCTCTTGGGTATATACCTAGGAATGGAAGTGCTGGGTCATGTGGTAACTATATGTTCAGGAGGTATTAATTATGATTTAGGAGTTGAAAATAAACCACTTGATGGAACTGGGGACATTAACTGACATATAAAGATGTGTAAAATGTAGATGAACAGACTGGGTGATGGGGTAGGGAAACACAGCGGGTTGGAATACAGGCCAACTTGAACAAGGCTAAGAATGCTTAGAGCAAGACACATTTAAGGAATCAGTGAGTGTGCCTCTTAAAGAAGTTACGGCCTGGGGCGCCTGGGTGGCTCAGTTGGTTAAGCGACTGCCTTTGGCTCAGGTCATGATCCTGGAGTCCCTGGATCGAGTCCCGCATCGGGCTCCCTGCTCGGCAGGGAGTCTGCTTCTCCCTCTGACCCTCCCCCCTCTCGTGTGCTCTCTCTCTCAAATAAATAAATTTTTAAAATCTTTAAAAAAAAAAAAAAAAAAGAAGTTACGGCCTATCAGTTCTTATTCACATATGAAATTAAATGATATCTTAAAGTCTTGAAGAAAATACTTGCCTTAATATTATAATCCACAACAAAAGCAGTATAATTAAATGTACTAATTCCATGAAAAAAGACACAAAATTAACCACTTGTACATCATCTTACTATTAAAGTGGTCAACTTAAAACAAAACTTTTCAAAAAACACTTAGCTAAATACTTCCTCCAAAGACTAAGCCCAGAGTACATTTCCCCTACTAGACTGGTTTGAAAACAACCTCTTCGGTGCTACATAACTTGATACCAAATTATGTGTGGTAAGGTCCAAACCACTTAACTTCTGTTATAAAATATAGAAAGAGAAACACTTCTAAGAAGTGTTGTAAATGATACATTCTCAAACTTCAAATTCTAAGTTCCTCAGGTTGTTACACAAACTAAGGAGATAAACAACATAAATTTGAGCTGAAACTTGTGAAACACTGTAAAACTGCTACAAGCAGGAAGAAACAAAAAAGTGTGGTGGTTTCAAAATTGAGCCTTAGGTTATTAATCAATATATATGTATGCACTGTATTAATATATCTAAAATAATTTTTTCTTTTTTATGAAATGTGCCTTTCCAACACTCACTGAGCTTAATGCCCATCTTTAATTACTCTTACTCCTATACCTCAATAAAGCTGGAAAAAAAAAATAATAGTTAATCTTGATGTCTCTGGCTCTCTCCTCAAAGTGTAAGAATGCAGTCTGCTCATCAATTTATTTTAGCAGATGTCACAAGCTATGAGATTATTTACTAATCCAGTTTGGGGACTTAACATTTCCCATTCAGTTTCTTAAAGGAATGCAGCAGAGGTTGTGTCCTGGTCAAGCAAAGCCCATTTGCTGCCTGGTTGGGTTCTCTCCCCTTAGTGCCTTGGGCCTATATTCAGCAGGGTAATATTCTTTCTAATCCTCTCTAATCCTTGCCCATTTTTTTAAAACACAGTAAAAGATCACTCGCACCAGGCGGCTGTGGGAAAATGGACTCAAATAGCTGACCTCTGACATGACTCCTTATGTTCTTAGCAAGTGCACTAAGAGCTTCTTCAGTAGGAAGCAAAAAAAAAAAAAAAAAAGCAAAACGCAGCAGTCACAATGGAATCTCCATCATAAAAAGAGTATCTCATTTTCAGACGAAAACTGTTTTAATACGTAAACCAAGTCCTTTCTATTAAAATTCTACTTCATTTTACAGGTAGAAGAGACAAAGTATCCCAAATTATTTTCAATGAGTTTTAGAACCCTGAAACTTTAAATTAAACCTACCTTGGTAGCCACTTAGCAATTGGTAAGCTAAAGATATTCACTTAACGATTATTCAAACTTAGAGAAAATATCAACTAAATATGTCAAGAAAATACTTTTTTGAACAGCAACTATATATTTTCAGTTTAATGATCTGAGTGACAATTCAGATAGTCAAGCACATATGGCATGTTTATTAGGAACTGACTTCAGGAGTTTATATTTTAAAATCTTTGCCATTTAATCATTAAAAAAAATCTTCTTATGCTATCTTATTTTTCATTACATCTCACCTACAAGCAAATGTCCTTTCCAATTTGACTTTAAAACAAAGCAATTCTTATGTTTCAGTTTCTAATAAGACACTGAAATAAAGTTCCACTCTCAAAATATAAGGGAAAATTTTCCGTTTAAGGAAGATATCTTTAAAATAGGTAATCATAGGATTATAACTTATTTATTTCCTTCACAAACTGCTACTCAGGAATTTCTGCTACCCAGCATAAGCTGTAAGTAACTACACAATAGAAACCACATCCTTCATATTCTACTATAGCACCTGGCACACTCCACTCCCAAAGTAGGCACTTAGACACTTACTAACTGACCTGATCTGATATATATAGCTAAAATGTCTTCAGACTCATGTTTATATTTCAGTTTTTTCTTAAAGATATTTTTTCACTCTCTGGGCAAACTAAAAACAAAACAGAACAAACTTTTGCTACCTAGACTTTATTTTTCTGTGAATAAGAATATGAAAGGTTGAAAACTGAAGAGTGGTTGGTTTGGTTTGGGGTTTTTTTCTGCTTCTGAAAGTACATGCTTAGTGCATAAAAATTCAAACACTGCAGAATTACATAGTAGAAATACTATATTAAAAGACTGGGGAATAGGGGTGCCTAGATGGCTCAGTCAGTTGAGCATGTGACTCTTGGTTTCAGCTCAGGTCATGTTCTCAGGGCTGTGAGATGGAGCCCCACGTTGGGCTCCACACTCAGCTCGGAGTCTGCTTGCTCCCTCTGCCCCTCCCCCTGCTCACACTCTTGTGCTCTCTCTAAAATAAAATAAATAAAATCTTTTTTAAAAAAAAGACTGGAGAATAAAAGAATAAAGAGAAAAGGATAATCTAATTTATATTTGTCTGGATTTCTTTACACATAACATCCTTAAAAACAGGATCAAACTTTTATGTAACTCACTTTTTACTTCACAATATATCTTGTACATCTCTTATCTCTATATAGATCTAACTCATTATTTTTAATTGTTATATAGTGTTCCACTAAAAGCTGGTTATTTTGGGGCACCTGGGTGGCTCAGTTGGTTGGGTGACTGCCTTCAGCTTGGGTCATGATCCTGGAGTCCTGGGATCGAGCCCTGCATCGGGCTCCCTGCTCAGCGAGGAGTCTGCTTCTCCATCTGACCCTCCCCCCTCTCATGCTCTCTCTCTCTCTCATCCTCTCTCAGGTAAATAAATAAAATCTTAAAAAAAAAAAAAAGCTGAGTTATTTTATAAGAAATAAGGTCATGCTGAAATTGTACTACCATTCTTAAAAGGCCAAAAATAATAACATTAAGTGAAACTCATAAAAATGTTAAGTAAAACGGCTTCAAAATTCCCCAAAAAGTGATGGGATCTAAAATTTTACTTTGTTTAACTTGGTTTGTCTAACTTAGGTCTTTATAGCAAAATAAGTCCAAAGTACAGACATGTCTATTTACCAAACATCTACTGAAGCCTGTTACGCGTTAAGCAGAGTTTCAAACATAAAATGATATGTAAAACAAGAGTTCTGCTTTTTAGGGAACTAAGGAAGAGACATACAAACAGACCAAAAAACAAACAAAACAAAACCAAAGCCAAGATATGATTACGGCATTGAAGGAATGGAGAAGAGAGAGCCATTATCTCTGCTTGGGAAAAATGGTAATGACACCTCTACAGAAGAGGCAACAGATGAGCAAGATCCTGAAGAATGAGTAGAAACTTGCCATGTAGAGAAGAAATTAAGCATATGTACAAAGGTAGGGAGACATGATGAGACATGACCAATCCAGGGAATAATAAGATAAGGAGAAAAGCAGAAG